TGTGTGTGTGTGTGTGTGTGTGTGTGTGTGTGTGTGTGTGTGTGTGTATGAGTATGTGTACCAAATGTGTAGCAGAAGCAGCCAGTGTTTGTTCTACTGTTAACAGATGAGGGACTCAGTTACAGCTTATCCTTCCTGCACACATACAACACACACAAACACGTACACATTCATGTGCACTCTGAATATGTGCAACGACTGATAAATAACAACACAAAGCATACAAATGTACCTGGCCCCACTCCACACGCACACACACACACACACACACACACACACACACACACACTCACTCACTCAACCATTTGGCCTAAAAGCTTTGTCTCTCCAAAAAAGCTTTTATTGCTCCATCATCTCACTGCACAGATGTGCTGTACCCTTCACCTTTGTTTTGTTTTTCTGTTGCCTTTTCCTTCCTCATGACTTATCGTCATGATATTTTTGGTTTTATTCTTACATAATTGTTAAGTTTTTAAATCTTTGCATTGTGTTAGATGCTTAATGCATTTCAAATTCATACTTATAGCCATTATTGAAGTAATAACCTGCTTGATTTGCTGAGTATTCGCCGAATTTTGTTCTTGTTTGGAAAACCTTTGTTAAACCTAAATTTATTTATTTTTTTGACCACTTTATTTTTCTGTTATTTTTTTTTTGGGCCTCAACATATCAAAGTCTTTAAAGTTGTTATCAAACATGTTCTCAAATAGTTGACTATTATTTACACACTCAGCAACATCAGCATTATGTCAGATTCAGGTGTTTTGGTCATATTCAGTCTCCTTTAAGCAGTTCCTGGTCTCCACCAACTGCTGAGAAGAATGTAGAGTCTGTAGAGTCTAAATGTGCCCCTATGTTCACCAGCTAGTTGCTAACTGCGTCTCTCTGCCGTTTGGTGCTGGGCAGGTTGTGTACAAAAGGTTTTTGGCTGAAAACAGCTGCCTGCTCAGCTGGAAACAATGTTGATGAGATTAGACTGGTGAGACTGAATCAAAACAGTAAAGTTGCAGGCCCGGAAAACCAAATCCAAACTCTCTAGAGCGGAGGGGACCTGCACAGTCGGGTGATAATTATCTGTGGGTTTGTCACTACAACCGATACCTTTCATATTACACATAGTTATTCACATACAAATATTGAACACTGCAGCTTTAAGTGAAGCTGGCTTGGGCAATGTCTGGTCTGTGTTCTAAGCTTTTCAACTTTGTACCTGATGGAGAGCCCGAAGGGAACTCATTTCAACTTTTTCTATCGATATCCAAAGAGGATGTCGATAGGTGAGGGATTAACTGTCAATTGACAGGCTTTCCACTGTACTTTTCAGTCAACCCGGCCTCACTTCCAACTGGTCAAATGCCCACGGTTGGACCGATGCACCAGGCTTTCGACTAACTTCAACATAAAACACACTTGCGATCATTACAAGACAGTCAGAGCAACTGACGTAGCACAAATAACGAGGTAGTCCACACAGGGCTGGCGGAAAGCTAAACGTTTACAGTTTGTCCCGAGAGTTGTTAGTCACTTGACTCATTTGTCACTCGCTAGTAACATGAGTCGTTAGTCAGTCAAGTCAATGTCTGAACCTAAATAAGTGGTTTTGTTGCCAAAACCTACACTGCCTGTGAGAGGGGTAGCTAAGGCATCATAGTTAGAAGCTTAGGGCCACTGACCAAGCGTCGGTATGTGTCGAGTTGGAAGTGACAATGTGTTTTTCTGAGTTCTGAGTTTTCTGGAACGCAGCATCTACAAATTTGTGGTGTAGAGTTAGAAAGAAGTGAGCCGACCAGACCTTCAAAGCCCACTCATCAGCTGCTATTAGCCGCTTTAGATTGAAAATCCACTCGCTCACTCACTCGTTCTGAAATGAACGAGATAATAGAGCTTTGCCTTTTTACTGCTGCACTGCAATTAAGTTGCAGTTATGGGATTGTTCTTTTTTTGGTGGATTTAAGGGGCCTGATATCCAACACCTTTGCGTTATCTGCTTAAAATCAAACCCATAACAAAAAAGAATCAAGAAGACAAACACAGACATTGTGGAAATGATTTTGTAAATTTGGTTGTCTCATATATAGCAAATGTTGCAGTGTCTGACTTCTCTTTGACTGCAGATTACTGCATTTCAGTAATTAAGTCCCTTCCTGATACAATAGTAACACAACTTATAATTTAAATAATGCTTTCAATCATGTTTACAGTTCTGAATTACCAATCTTAAGGAAGTCTCTGCAAGCTGTTTGCCATGCTGTACAACTGAACCCAGTGTATGTTTCATCATGATGAAATCATACAACCTTTTCATGTGAAACTCCACACTGCAGCATCTGTGAACACAGATGAGGAGACACACATACAACAGATATCATTCAATGAAATGATATAATTCATATCCAACAGTATGGCGGCGTTTGTGAGAAGTTATGTAATTGCAACGGTATAATCTGAATATGCAATGCAGCTCAGTGCCCTTATTTGTAACCACAGTGTCATTAAACAATTACATAATATTTGACATTGCGTCCAGTTAAAGTGCACTGTGGTAAATAGTTGCTCCATTTCTAATGACAGTGTTTGACTGAGACTTAATTCTGTTCATTAATCTTTGATTTAAATCAGTAATGAAGTCCATCCCGATATTTGGAATAGACTGAAACTCCTTGCAACAATAAGAACCTTTTCTTAACCACTCACAGACACAGAAAAAGCATATTGACAACTGGGAAAAGATAAGTTCAAGGATATTTTTGAAAACAATGACAGCATCAGTCTCCTGGGAGACTATTCCGTCAACAAAGAGCATAGTTTGAGTCCTTGAATTTATAGCAGGAAGCCAGATGGCCAAAGAGTTTTGTGGCTTTTCAATTGATCTAACATTTGTTTAAGGGCCATTCATGCTTTATATGAGAGAAAAATAATCTAAGAGTCAAGTCTGAAAGCCACTGCACAATGTGTTCTCTCTCTTTTCTTAGCTCCTGTCGGATGTTTCGAGGCAGCATTCAGAGCTGCACAAGTTACAACATCAGGCAGATGTCTGGTTTTGATAGTAGCTTGTTGTTAGTTTTGCAATATTGCAACAATGTTTAAGTGACAAAAAAGTATCTTTCAATTCATGTCAGCATGACATTTTAGAGTGTAAAATATATATATCTATATATATATATATATATATATATATATATATATATATATATACCTTGTCCATCTTCTGCAGATTAAAGAAATAGATATAAAATGTTAGAGGGGCTAGTAGGGGTTTTAAGCTTGGACAAAGCTCGCTGCTTTCTAAATAAGTGAGTGCTAAGGATGGATGCCTGTGGAACTCTGTGCCATGCATGTTTTTGAGAGTTTTCAAATAAGAAACTCAATCATGCAAATAGAACTGGCCAGACAGTCAAACTCATTTAAATGTGTCTAATATTATGGTGGAGCGATGATTGTTTGAATCTTGATGTCTTGTTAGTGCAGAAAAAAACTCCGCAGCCGTGAGCACATTGCATTACAGATTCCGTAACTAATAAAAAAACAGGACTAATGCAGGTCACCGCCGTGAGTGAAATACTCACACCACATATTTTGCTTGCTCTTGCAGGAGGTTAAGTACTTCCAGTTTCCCGGAGAGCTGCTGATGAGGATGTTGAAAATGTTAATTTTGCCCCTCGTCGTATCCAGGTAAGAGCAACACAACTCTACACACATCGGTCACGTCAGAAAGAATGTATTATGAATGTTTGACTTTACATATGAAGAGCCCTGTACTACACTGAATAGCAGAGAGTGTAGCCATTTGAGAAATGACAGTCCATGATAAGAAATGTCCTGATATTAATGTGAATTCGTTTAAGTGCTTTTTATATTGCCTCAGAGACACTTTGCAACACACTTGTTGCAAAGTGTTTGTGGTGCTTGATGACAAAAACAGGTCACTCACCATCTGGTGACAGCACTGACTTTAGTTGATTATTTCATGATTATTCCACAACCACCTTTGACTTCACAAGTTCAGACGAGTCTTATTGGAAAGGCGTTCTGGGAAATGTAGGAAATTACTGTTAAAACACGAGATAAGGCCGGTTCATTTGTAAAGCACCTTTCAAAAAAAAGGCAATTGAAAGACATGAAAACAAAAAGGTATTAAGACAAGATATAAAAGAAACACAAGTCGATATAAAAAGACAGGATTTAAAAAGAGAATATAATGGAAGATACAAATCAGCTAAGATTGAATAAAATGGATTCAAGAAGATTTAAAGATCAGTTACATTGCAGTGCAAGATATTAATGAATAGTTCTGAATTTGATTTAATTGAAAGGCAGTGATGCAAATGTGATATTAACCAACCTGCTATATTTTAATGACTTAAAAAAAGTATATAAAATTAGGTTTCGAAATCTTGAAAAAAAATGAGCACGTTTTCCGCTGGAGGCTCTTAAACCATAGTTACAAATGTACAGTTACAGTATATACAACATGTTGGCCATCTCACTGCTGCTTCAGTTTCGTTGTGACGCTCAAAACAATTTATCCACCATTTAACAGCCGCAACATAAGCGACGGAGTATAGGTTGAACTACCACACGCAAGCCGCACGCTAACCCTCTCGTGTGCACCCCGATTGACAGGCACACAGAGAGGGCTGGTAAGGAGGCAGACGGGGCCGGACGGCTGGTAAAATGACTGTATGGATATTAATGTAGATGAAAAGCACAACCTAGATGAGATTTTGTTTTTTCTGCACCCAATTGCCTTTTTTAATATCAAGGATTAAAGGTCAATGTGTATATAGAAGCAAACCTGTTGCCCTTTTATAGCTTTGGATGCATTCGTAGAAGCGTAGAGTCTGCCAGATTTTCAAGTTTGACTATTTTAGGCCCAAAGCTCTTAGTTGCCTACATGAGGTCAGCGATGTCCACCACACACACACAAAAACTCCCAAAACAAATCATGCAAAAGCACCGGTTACATGCTGGGTGCTTTGTGCAATAAGCTACTTACGATCTCTGCAACAGCAAAGACTGGATGAGAAGTTAATCCTCCCTCCGTCACTCTGCCTGTCTCTCTCGGTCTCCCTCTGTCTGTCTCTCTGTCTCTATCTTTCTGTGCTTCTGTGTCTGTCTCTTGCATGTTTCTTTTTCTGTCTTTAATCTATGTTGTTTAAACAAAAAGGCAAAGGGCAGTAAGACTCCTTATCTGTGCATTTATTCATGCTAGTGGTCCACTCTCCCAGTTTCTCAGACTCAGAGCAGCTCACTTCAGTGCAGGTTTCCTGCCAAACACGAGGCACGTGAGGACAAGCGATGTTAATTACATCTAATCTGAAACATGCATGTAGGCAGGGCGCCAAACCCAGCCAGGTTAAACATAGTTTCAGCACATGGGAATGTAAAGGCAATCAGGGCAAACATGCCACAGGCTGCTGGAGCTTCTGTTGAGTCTGAAACACACAACGTGTTCTTGGTGCCTTCCTTTGACTCGTTTGAGGTAAGAATGGACAATGACGGTGGAAGGCACGGCTTGTCGCTTCACAGCACTTGTGTTTGTACTAATGTCTTTCTATCCGCTCCCATCCATTCAGAGATGATTTGGGGCATATCTGCATGCAAACCTCTGCAGACACGCACGTCAATCCATCCACAGGCATAAAATACAGTCTTGATGGATATCCTGCTTTTCTCTCTCCGTCTTTCTCTTCTGCTCTACCAACTAATGACAGCAGAGTGCATCTAGATTGGGATGCAAAGACTGGCTAGTTGACATGGTGCATGGTACAGTAGGGCTTATCTAGGGGTGAATATCCGTCCCATAGCCCTAAAGCCTGACTGTCCCCCCCCTCCTAGCACCATCTGCGCACCAGCCACAGCGGAAACCAGATTATCCCATGTACACGTCACGCAGAACCAATGGGCACTCAACTTACCGCCTCCTTATGTGTCGGGTTTCTTTTGTTTTTACATATTAAATAGAGCTAGATTTTGAAAAGAATACATTTTTATTCTTTGTATGTTGGTTAAAGAAAGCATTCACATGTTGATTAAGCCCTCTTATTTACCAATGCTTTGACTGAGATCTGAAGGTCAAAGGTGAAAAGCAGGATGCAGCAGCCGCACAAACATATGGCTGATCCAAACCGTATCAAAGGGTTCATCAACTGATGTTATAGGGTCGTAATGATGAGAATAACATCACAGATTGACGGTATGATGAGGATGATAATAAACCTGATAAAACAATAACATGTAACTTTAATATGTCATATAACTAAAGCATGTTAGTTTATATGTAAGCAGCATCATGTCTCTACCTTTAACTCACAAGCTACTTTTGCGATACCGTAGACAACAACACGGTATGATAACCGTCAATATTACCGTGATACCGTTACAACCCTAAATCTGTCATTCTTGCTTTTGATGCTGAAGATGCTGTGACACAAGTGCCTCTTTCCAGAGTTGTGTTTCACTCTATGTATTTTTCTGCATGTCCACGTGACTGTTAGTCTTTTCTCAGTCAGTTTGAGCTCCTTATGTGGCTTTAAGCTGAATGCTCTGTCGCACACAGTGAAGAAGAAATAATTGGCATGGAAGATGAGCGTTGAGAGACAGATTTGAGTGGGTGTGTCCTGCAGGTTGTTTAGAAGGTTTTGAGGAATATGAATATCATATAGCCTGGAACATGTGTTATTTAAATGTGAAGTGAAAGTGTTAAATGTACAGTTACTCTTAAACTATGAGTGTTGTTCTCAGACTGAAATTCAAACATGTGATTGACATTCTTGGATATTGTACTCATTATCTCCGGAGGATAAAAAAAAAATAGATCTGTGCACAACAGACACTTCTTGGAACAACATGTATTTCCAATTAAAATGTACAGTAAGTTCACTTTAATTGCATTTATATTTTTATTTCACAGGGCATCCTGTCTATATATTCATATCATCCACAGTTGTTGTTTTTTATATGTTGAAAGGGTTGTTTTAATGATTTTAATGAATCATTTGTCTTGCCTATTTTCCGTCCTCACGCGTAGACAGCCTGCGAATATTTCTCTGACTAAAAGAACAAAATAGAAAAAAACAAAGTGCTACTGTTAGACAGCACTAATGTAGTGAATAGAGCATAAAAGACTTCAAAATTAAGTCCATGTAGTCTTTTTTCTCTTAACGCTATGGTGACTCAGAGGGGTCGTTTGGGCACAAGCCATGTGCTCATCGAGTCCCATTGTGATGGTTAGTTGTCAGGCTGTGTGGTGCAGGTCATGATGCGTGTGTCTCTTCAGCTCAATGCAGCCTAATTTGTTTTGTTGGTTGTACTGCGAGATGACCCAAGTTCATTTTAAATTCCTTAAAGGTATGTCATTATAAGGCCATTCAGGAAGAATGTCTAATCAACTCGTGGACAGCGACACACATTTATAAACCGCAATACTCACTAGAGAGTACACAACATTGAAGGATGTAAAATTACAAGTAGGATCTTGTTAAAAGGAGGGCGTATAGCTAATTAGTTAAAAGGAATGTTTACCTCGTTATGAACCAGACTCAATGTAATACTGATGCCACTATATGTGACCTACTATCAGCTGGAAGATTGGCTATTTCTATACGGTGATGGTGGATAATCGTAATGCCTGTCATCAAGTCTGATGTACGTTTAGACCCAAACACAGATGAAGAAGAGTTGATGATGCAGCAATAGAGTACTATGATTTAATGAGGAAAGTAACTTACAGCAGGAAGGCCAAAAAACAGGCAAGGAACCTGGAGACAATCCAAAAAACTAAGAATGCTAAACACTGAGTACAACTAAACACAATGAGGCCTTGAATGTAGAAACCAGCAGACGAGCTGAAACAAACAAACTAAATAAACAAGAGACTAATCAACTAAATAAGGCAGGCAGGTGACAATTGCAGGAAGTAAAAACAAACATTACACATGAGCAGGGTAACTTTCAAAATAAAACAGGAAACAGACTAAACAAAAATCCAAGTCCATGATCAGTCTATTCACAGCTGACTAGCCTGTTAGCGGTTAGCTCAAGAAGCTACAAAAGGTCACCAACTAGCCCAGAGAATAGTCCTTACCGAGCCCAACCACAGCACAGCTCATTATGTAGATACATGACAAATAGAAATGTATAGTTTCGTGATGGCAGTTTCGTTTTATTTCTACAAGTTCTTCAATTGACTGCTGGAAATGTTTCTTCATAATGTTATTGTTTTTTTCTACCTTTCCGGGTACAGAAACACAGCATCTGACAGCAAGGCCAGCTCAACAATTCAGGCAGCAGAGTTAGATGAAAAAGAGGTTTATAGTGAATTGGTTTTCTTAATCTCGGCATACAGAGAGACAGCAAACACACACAGCAATGTCCTGCAGGGCACAAAGGATTTCTCTGATCCCTGACTCGGATGGCCATAAAACTGCAGTAAACCAAACTATGAGCACAAAGCTCAACTGAGAAAGCAATCAATTGTTTATTAATTTCTTAGATCATGTCTGTTTTGTTGCTTAGTATTTTTCATTAAGCAATGGCAAAAAGACCCTCTCTTGGCTTCATCTTGATGTGGCCTGTTTGCCCACATCTCCAAAAGACTGGATCAGTACACGAATAAAAGCCCCCCACGTCATAAGCCTCGACCTTCATTTGAACTGTTTTTACAGACACTAGCTTGTATTGAATTAATTGCAGTGACGAGTTCAGTCTCTTTGGGTGATGAGTGTGTGTCATTCAGAACTGATTTGGAAAGGCCTTGAAGGCAAAGTTTCAATATATTTAAATTATCATTCATTCAATGTTGTGTCCTGGATTCCTGATATCAACTTTTTGTCCATTAGTAGTTACCATTTGTTGTAGTGAGCTGCTTCTTTCTTACAACTAAAGGTATCCTGAATTGTAAAGCTGTTGATATAGTGCGACATCTAGAGACTTTGAAAATCCCTGGAGCATCAAATGGTGAAACTGCCTTGAAGTAGAACATCAACGCGGCCTCTAATGAGCTGAGCTGCTGAAGCAAATGCCACAGTGTCACTGCCACATTTCATGGATGTTATGGATAACCCCACTTCAAGGAGCCTCGGCCTTCTCTTCTCTCATCTGGTCGAAGGATTACTGTAAATCTCTTGCTCAGCAAAGGTGCAGGACTGTAAGCCCCTTATGGTCAAACAATCTTTTGGCAGATCTTCTATATACGTGTCCTTGAAACCTCACGATCGAGGCAGCTATAAACATGTGACGCGTTGTAATCCCACTTTACCTCAGATATCAGAGAGGATAGAGATCTCAATTTATATAGTCTGTGTTCAGTATCAGCAGGCAAGTTATTCCATTTCCTGTCAATATGAAGCAGAAGACAACAGCTCAAGTGCACTGAAAGTTGTATGTTGACTATCTTCCTGTTACTGTGGCATCAATGGGTCGGGACCCACCAAGAGTTGACAAGAAAAACCTTAGGGATCACTAGATAATCAAATGGACAGTAGCGTTACTACTGTGTTCATTTTTCGATCGTGTCGTTTTTATTATATGGTTAATATTGTTCCCTCTGATGTGAATAATATTTGAATGGTGCTCTTGAGTGTGTGGCGGAATGCGTGTTTTATCGCCGCAGTTTTGCTGGATTGTGCAGAGGCCTGTTGAATAATGTTATTTGGGTTTTATGTTATTCTACCTGCTTTGTTGTCATATAAATATATGTGACGGGTTCTTGTGAGTTTGTTCTTGTCATTATGTTAATTACATTGATTTTGACTATACGCATTGTCCGTTAATGACGAAGCATTCCGTCATAATGAGGTTATTAGGAGGTGGTTCAACTGTAGTAGGACAGCACTGAAGGCCCAGGTATAAAATACACGGCATGCCACTGGGTTACATCATGGTTGGGCATATAATAAGTACATAAAGCTAGCTGGTGAACATAGTGGAGCATTTAGCAGCTAAAGAGACAGAAATTTACCTCAGTCACAAACAAAAATGGTCGGGTACCATTGTCTACATAATACATTTATATTATAGTATAAAATATTTCAAAATGTTTCATGGCATTTATGCACAAGCCTGTCCACGTTGTGCAAGACATTGTTAAAATGATATCTGGGAATATCTAACAGCAGGTGTGAGGCATTACAATATTACCTTTCCCTGTCTGGTAGCCAGTTTAGGAGGATGTGTGTATGAACATGTGTGAGAGGACGTGATATTCAAAACAAGACACTCATAGTATACGCAAGGGAGTAAAATACAGAACCCATTAAAAGACAAGTGCTTAAGGTAGTTAATTCAATTCAATTGAAATTCTAGTAATCTGCTGATGATTCAGCACCTAATTTGAATAATTTATCCTAAGATGTAAAAAGATGTTAATGAGTTTTATGAAAAGTTGTCAATTAAATGAAATTGAATTTGAAAGATTGTTCATATTTTAGTCCTGCATTACTATTCATACTATTCACTGATATTTTTTATCAGTTCACTCTGAAGTTTTTATCACAAGACAAGAAAATACAGTGATATCATCATCAGATATAAATGCACAGCGTAGGGAGGAGGAGGAGGTCATGAGGTCAGTCCCTGCAATAGCAAATGTAATCCCCCCCTTTCGACCCCCTGGTTGCAGTTTCTGGTTTCCCATAGAGCTGCAGTAAAAACTCTGCATCAAACATCTTGACATGTAATTCAATTGAAACAGTTTGTCGTCTGACATTTCCCAGAAGATTGATGTTTTGTTGTGCCGCCAGTCCACCTCAGCTTGACGTTCTGATTTTTCCTGCTGGAGGTCGTCTAGTCCCTGACCAGCCCAGGACAAGCCCCCAAACTATCAGTGCTGCAGCTGCACCTGTTGTCTGATACAACAAATGGGGCAAGGTGCTTTCACACAAGCTGTGTATCTTATTGACGTTGTAATTCCAGTCACATCACTCGGTTCAAGCAATAAACATACAGATATAGGCGGTGCACCCTTGACTGTGAATTTCAAGAGCTTTTCTGTTTGATAGATAGGAACAACATGTCGGACGGAATATTTATAACTTGCAAGTCAGTCCACCTGCTGCAGTCTCTATTACGTTTGATAGGCATTCACACCGTGGCTAATCAAGCACACTTCCTTCAGCTCCCACCAAAGGAATCAATTGAGAAGAAGTCGTCCTTCAACATTGAGAGAAGTGTGACATTCATTAATAGAGAGCTGGTTTTAAATAAATAATGATTCTCAGCCCTATTGAATTATAAGGACGAAATCATTTTTTGTAGCTCGACTCTGACTTACAAGATAAGGAACATACTGCAGCAGTGGGGTTGGTGCACTTCTTGTGTGCTTCTGTGTCTGCTGAAGCCGGTTCAGTTGGTCAGATAGCTTTTCTTTCTATTTGTGGCAGAAGTAAGTAGCAATAATTTGCTTGACAGCTGACATAAGTTTCAACTTGTCAACTCAATGGAGTGAGCTGATTCAAAGGTAGGACCCAGGAAAAGCAATCCTAGTAGTCATTGTAACACTTAAAGCATAAAGAAGAAAGAATAACTTGACAACCCAATAGACCCATTTGAGGTTGCATTAACGCATTCCTGTTTCGAGCCATGGATACATGACGGAGAACATTTTAGCTGGATATATAATTTGATGATTACAAAAATGATTTAAACCTAATTTTAGCAGGCATTATAAATTCACATTTGTATTCACATGCAGAGAAATAGCCTGTTTGCATGGAAAACAAATCTGACACACAGAAGGAGAAGTTTGACACCACTCTTACACAGCGGAGTGGTGTCAATATTCTCATCAAACCTTCAGCAAGAAAGCAAATACTGGCAAGCACATTCCACACCATCTGTTACTTGTGGCTACATTTCAGTCATGATTTCAATTTATTTTTCAAGGCTGATGTCCTACCTGGTCCAAAATGTGCTTAAATGATTTGTTTACTCTTTTGACAGAAGACTACATTTGATTGTATTGGTGCAGCTAAAGCCAGGCAGGTGAACATACTCGTGTTGTGATCCCAGGCTCCAAACCTGTAAAGAAATATTCTGGGGCTGCAGTGCAGTAAAAACATTTCACTCTTTTTTTAGATGTAAACATTGAGCAGACTCATCCCCAATGTGACTGTGAAAGCCAAACATTTCAGAGATGATAAATGGAGGGTTGGCAGGATGAGGTGGAGCACAGGCAGTGACTGCAGGGAAAAGACTCAGCAGCCCCGTCCAAACAGAACCAGATTACTAGCTGAACAGCGAATCTTGTCACTCCAGCTCAAGAGACCCTGTTAAGATCTCTCCAATTCTCTCTCTCTCTCTCTCTCTCTCTCTCTCTCTCTCTCTCTCTCTCTCAAAATATAATAGTTTATTTATTGATATGCAAGAATTCTTTCATAGCACATGTTACTAATAGTTTAATCAATTTGACATTATTTTATGATTATTTGTTTAAATGGCTCTTGAATTCAACAACAAAACATATTTTAATTTAAATAATTGAATCAATTAAATCAATTGAGCAGCTCATTGCTATTTTTCTTATTGTGACAAATATGTCACATTGGTTTTTCTGAGAGTTTTTCATAACTTTTTATATATAAATTAGTTTGATAAACATGGTTAGAACAGATGTAATGTAGAACATGTTGTCAAAGCAGTAGAATTGTTAAATGTGTTGAAACTTACCTTTACCAACAAAAACAAGCTTTTTGCAAATTATCTAGTTCTGTCAAATGTGCTGACCAGCCAGGCAGCCAAGTGATGTCATGGCTACCCAAATTAACTCACCGTCACATGACCTCACCAGGATGTGCAGTATGTGTCACTTAGGGACTTCAAGAGTTAAAATCAAGGATTATTTAAAGTGTCTGTGACGATGATTACAGCACAGGCTGCCTGTGAAAGACAAGAGAGGGGTACAAAGCTCAGAATGGCATGATCTCACATTTCACAAATTACAGAAGAGAAGCAAGAGACAAAGAGACAAACGGATTCGGGGAGTAACTTCATTCAATTTCATGCTTTCTTCTCTCTGTTATTATCTCGATGTCATAGATTGCCTGAGACGGTAGAGCCAGTATCTTATAAAGGCTTCTCCGGTTTGAAAATAGGCTTATTTAGTTTTGTTAAGTGGTCCCATCATGTCAAAGCTGTGTGATCTTACACTTAACCAAAGCCTTGATGGTTGTGTTGCTTGTACATCCACACATAAAGTATGTTATTAGGATGGATGTTGAACTTGAATGATGTTCTCTGATGTTTCACTATAATTATCAGTTTAAGAGTCATCAGTCTTTTGAATATTGGTGGTTTGTTTTCCTCATAATGCACTTGTGACCCTTTTGTGAAGTCCAACCTTGTGAACCTATAACTCAGTAGTAATATATTCATTAACCTGCAGTTGAATTGTGCAATTTGGTGCCACTTAGTTATTTGGTCCATAAATACTATGAGTGCAATTGGGCACAAAATGAGTTAGTTGAACATCTGCAACAGCATACCAATGAGCTAACATCACCCCCCCCCCCCCCCCCCACCCCCCCCTCCGAACACTGAGGCAGAACAAATCAATTCTTTAGTTTCACAAAGTCCTTCTCGATTTCAAACATTAACCTCTACCTTCCTGTCTTCTTGTCTCCCTGCTGTTTCTGTCTGTGCCTTTGTGTGTCTCCGCTTCCTCTCCATACTTCAGTTTGATGTCAGGTCTGGCTGCCTTAGACGCCAAGTGCTCCAGCCGCCTGGGCATCATGACCATCTCCTACTACCTCTGGACCACCTTTGTTGCCGTGGTGGTGGGCATCCTCATGGTATACATCATCCACCCAGGTGGAGCCGCTCAGAAGGAGGACACTGGGGAAAGCCAGAAGCCGATGACCAGCTCTGCTGACGCTCTGCTGGATCTCATCCGGTAAGAGTGCCATGGTTTTAAAGAAGTTGGGAATATGATGGCTTCATTCTTTGAATCTGCTTGTAACCTTCAAGCTGCACAGCACATTCATTTAAGGCTGTTTTATAACACGGTGGCCGTGACTTGTATATTTCTAGATCAGTGCTCTGGATCACGTGGACTGGAGTAGGAGTAATGCTTGAGGTCAGAGCACAAAGCCTGTAGCCTCGTGTGCCAATGGGTTATTGTGCTAAGCTAATTAGCGCTGTTGAAGGATGTAGCGGGCGTGCGTTTCAGGTGAACCTGGGTCAGCATGAGAAACATGACGGTGAGGCCCTGAGAGCCGCTGTGTCAGTGTGACAGTCGGTCAGTGGGCTAAAGTCAACAACATGTAACACAGAGAGCTCCCGAGCCGTTCACTTCATGGTGCTACATGTCATAAATGTAAAAATAATTCATGTTTTGTCATTACAATTTTCTATCCTTTTTTTTATTTTTCAAATCATATAAATAAATTACATTTCAATGAGGCACCTTCAACCAGAATGTAAAAAGAGGGAGCAGTAAACTGGCCAAGCCATGAAATCCAACTATGTACTGATCATGTGGCAGAGGTGAACTCTGACGTTCACGGGTTCTAAGTGTGCATGGGTGTGTGTGTGCATGTGTGTGTATTTTACAGAGCACAGCTGTGCTTTGGATTTATCTCGCAAAGCTTCTTTACAGCGTTCATCTATCATGCAGGCATACTATATCGGTGCACCAACAAATGGTCCCAACTGTCTGCAGTCGTGTGTGTGTGTGTGTGTGTGTGTGTGAACTATAAGTATACATAATGAGCACAGTATGCATGAATATGTGTGTATACTTGGATGTATTAGGGGCTCTGGGGTCACAGTGGTTCATTAGCCTGCTCAGACACAGGATAGGCTGCTGAGTGGTTAAGTGGTCAAATCCATGCAGCATACTGACTCCCCCATATTGTCCCCGTATATCTTATGTGCCATATGTCTTTTGCATCACTCTGTTGATTGCACAAGCTGTAAAACACAATATGTCTTTTAATCTCTCTGTGTCTGAAATGGGGTGTTTGTAATTTGGTTGCGATTTGAGTTCTGTGTTGATCTGGGATTAATAGCCAGTACTAATGTCATGCTGATTCTGTTCTTCTCTGCATAAAGAATGCTACAAAATGAATGTTATTCAACGGCCGGCAGCTAGTAATCGGCAGCAGTCTGCACCACAAACAAAAGGGGCCTGCACATTGAATGTATGACAATGTTGCTGTTCATTCAATGTCTGTTGTGTAAGACCTTTTCAATTCTAAAATAATGATTGTATTATTTTAGTAAAAGAATTTGACCAAAGGGTTATTTATTATCAGAAAACATGCTTTGCACTGTGTTCCTGCATTACTACTAGTGTTATTGTGTTCTATAGTGTTCCTGTTCCACATTGTTGTTATACAATTTGTTATTAAGAGTAAAGGCATTACGTGTGACATGCTCCCTAATATCAGAACATAATGGTGGCATGGCCCTGGTTCAACACAGTACAGGTTTTTAGTACATGCTGGTGGGTCATTCGCTGACTTTTTTTCAGAGCTCTCAGTCAGAGCACTTAGCCTACATGTGCACCTGATGAGCAGGCCACATCTTGCAAAGCATGATAATGGGAAATTATAGTGCACCAGTATATGTGGTCAAGATGCAAACCGACAGGACACTGTTAAGTGTATTAAGTAGTGTATACTCAGGTTCTCCAACTGTGATAAAAGGGTGATTTGAGTCACGGTTAGTTGTTGTTTTTCTCTGTGTAAAGCTTATTCTAAAGGCTTAAAATAATATTCTGCTTAATTCTACTCTTGTTGTTTTACTGCATTATTATATTGGTCTTAGTTTACATTGTAAAACATATATTTCTTTAGATATACAATAAGTTCTTTATTATTAGTGAATGGAAATTAAAGTCGAATATTAGGCTGATTTGCATGTCTTTGGACTGTGGAGGGAAAGCGGACGCCCCGCATGAACACCCACACGGGTACCTGGAGGACATGCAAACGTCAAAACAGAAAAGTAGTGTTGCTATAACCCAACTGGTTCTTATTTTAATTTCTCAGCTCTGTCTGCTGGGCATCCATTTTCCACTCCAGATCCATGTGTGTATATATATATATATATATATATATATATATATATATATATACCCCTTTTACATTCCCTTATCCCATGTTGCCATAAGCCACCTGCTGCTCCATCTTCAGGTTTCACTCCTTCCTGCTCATTTGAGTCTTCTCTGCAGCAGTTGCCCTCGGCTGGCAGAGCACTTAACATGCTTTTGCTTGACTGAGGTATTGCTATGAGAGTTATTTAAGTGTATCACCGTTCTACTGTCTAAGGAGCTGTCAGTGTGGAAGAAAATTAAGATTGTGAAGACTTTAATTAGCCAAGATCAATGAAGGAAAAAAATATTGACTGACTGCACAAACTACGTTACTTTCACGTGGAACATGAATGAGTGGACGACAGGCACAAGCTGCTCACAAGCTGCTATCCCTTGTTGATTATTTTTCCTCTAAGGGAAGTCACAGGGTGAATTGTGGCAACAAACTTACTGCGTCTGTCATATAGTTCTTTTTGAATGTTCTTGTTTTTATTCAGTGTGACCTTGCATGTACTTACTTAAAACTATACTTTTAACATATGTACAAAGTAATATCTGAAGGACTTAAACAAATCTTAAAATTCTCTTCCCCAGCAACATGTTTCCAGCCAATCTGATTCAAGCTACTTTCCAACAGGTAAGTAAAGAAAGTTGAAGGCAAAGACACAAAAGATGTTCAAAACCCAAACAGCTGCGTCACTAATTTGGAAGTGAAAACAGGCTAGCTGATTTCGTAGTTCCAGTCTTTATGCTAAGCTAAGCTAACTAGTGGTAGCTTCTTATTTAGACATCTTACCATCTAACTTTCTACAAGAAAGCAAGTAAGTATATCTACCAAAATGTCAAGCAATTCTTTGTTTTAGATGAATTGTAAAAATATATGTTATTTAGTATATAGGAAAGTCAATTTTAAAAAGTGCTATTATCTTTATTTGAAAATTCAGAAACAGAGTTAATGAAGTAACACACTGTCTATCGCGTTCATGGTCATTTACTACTGTAATGTGGATTTTTTAATTTAAAAGTTACTCCCTCCCCCCATTCTGCCGCTTTGAACATCTCTATTGGTGTCATGAATGCTCCGCTGATGTCGGGGCTTGTGCTGTGTTTTGGTTTCAAGTATCGAACCCAGAGAGTCCCCGTGCTTATCCCCAAACCAACGGTGGCTCAGCTCCTGGATGAGACCACCACACGCAGGATCTACATCTACGGCATCCAAGATGACAACGGCACAGATGTGCAGAATTTCTCCCTGGATCTCACGCCGCCACCTGACGTTATCATGAAAACCTCCCCTGGTACCAGCGACGGCATGAATGTGCTGGGGATTGTAATTTTTTCTGCTACCATGGGTAAGCGGTTACCATGGATCCTGCACACACATTTCCACAGAGTAACATGAACAATGCACATACATAAATATGGAAAATTGCATAATTGCAGTCTTGGCAATCATTGAATGGGTTAGTTTAGAATGTGTTGTGCTCCCACGAGGAAGGTAGGGAACAAAGAAATGATGACACTCTTCAATATACACAGTTGAATGCGTCATTGTAGGTGTACGATTGATGCCTTTATGTATGCAACAAATGTTGTTGTATTTTTTTTTCCAACCCAGGAATAATGTTAGGAAGAATGGGACCCAATGGAAGCGCTTTGGTGAACTTCTGCCAGAGTGTGAATGAGGCAGTTTTGAAGATTGTTGCCATTGTCATCTGGTAAGCGTTGTACCTTTGAAATAATAAATAATAAAAGAACATTTGTGAGCCGTTTTGCTGATACAATTTTAGCTGAAACAGCATAAGGACTTTCTCATTCTTAGCAACAACAATGTTGGTCTGTTGTTCAGTCTGTTAGCCATGAATTTAGTAAAGGCATTCATGCTCCCCACAGAATGAATCCTACTGATATTTGGGATCGCCTGACTTTTCCTCCAGAGCCAATTTGAATTTGTCATTTATTGTTTTTAGTGAAATGTCTCAAAAACGATTGGATGGATTGTCGTTTCATTTGGTACAGATATTCATGGTGCCCTGGGGATGAATCCTCATGGCTTTGGTGATACCCCGACTTTTCATCTAGCACCACCAGCAGGCCAAAAACATCTTTCTGATGGATTGGCAGAACATTTTGTTCAGATAGTCATGGCTAGACAATGTATCTCTGTGACTTTGGTCACTTCCAATGTCTCACAAATTTTAAAAGGATTGTGATAACAATTGTTCCAGACAGTCATATCGTTGGTGATCCCTTAACTTTTGATTCTGTATCATTATCAGGTCAAAATTTGTCCAACATGACCAAAATTACCAAATATCTTTAAAAATAATACTTTGTGTTTATGTTAATTAGCAAAAGTTAGCCTGCAAAACTAAGATGGTGAACATGGTGAACACTATACCTGCTACCTGTTAGCACTGTCACTGTGAGCATATTAGTATTTCGTTCAAAGTACGGCCTCACAGGACCACTAGCATGGCTGTTGGAGAAGTCTTGTTGAACAGTAAATGCATGACCGTGAATAAAACCATGTATTCATTTTATGAATATGCACTCTACCTCCCTTACAGGTATTTTCCTTTCGGGATTGTCTTTCTGGTTGCCGGTAAGATCTTGGAGATGGATGACCCTTCAGCCATGGGGAAGAAGCTGGGTTTTTATGCCATCACGGTGGTAATGGGTTTAGTGCTGCACGGCCTATTCATCCTCCCGGCCATGTACTTCTTCATCACTAAGAAGAGCCCCATTGTTTACATCAGAGGCATTCTGCAGGCCCTGCTCATCTCCTTGGCCACCTCCTCCAGGTAGGCTTGCTTTGTTGCACATTTAATGTTTTTTCTTACAATGAGTACAACCATTAAATAAAAATGAGCTTCAATTTAAGGTTCACCAGAAACTGATGAGTACTTACCTGCCAAGGTTAGAGCACAGACAAACAATATTGCCATCGTAAATAGAGTGGATAATGGAATTGTCCTTGAATTAAATGGATGTTTGTGGCTCCTTTGACATCAAACACCACATCATGGCTGTCATTTATGTTAAGAGTGGCTATATATTTGATGTTTCCAACAACACTTTGCAGCTTTTTTAATGGGATGAACAACTTTACTAATAAGTGTCAGAGTGTTCACCCCTAGTTTAAAATCAGTAGGATGACATATTTTAGCCTCTTGACACATCCTCTTTGAATCCTCTCCTGTTGATGAGAAATATTCAGAGGTTTTGCCCAGTGCAGTATTGAGGGTCCCTGCAAATAATAAATAATAAAACTAATATATTTGCAGTGTCATTATGTGTCACAGCTAACAGTTAACTGGGACTTAGAACTAAATAATAAAAGGATATTTTTGCATCAGTCAGGTCCCCCCTTAGCTCAGATTGTTATCACACGTTTATCACAGCATCTCAAAAAAAGTATCCAAATTTGCATGCTTACTGGCTATTTGGCAGTTTTATGCAACTTATTTGAATATTTAAATGTTTGCTATACAGTATATGTATATCAACCCCAGTACTAGCATTTTCCCCCATCAAAACACAAACTGTGTTTTCAAGAGTTACAAAAGGGAAAAACATTTCTGTCACATACTTTTTGGTTTTGGTTCTAATATCAACAGCTTTCAAATGAAATCAATCAACTAAATAAACACATTTACAAATGTCCCTATTTGAGGCAGTTTTAGGTCACTGCTGATGTTCCATCACTTTGTTTAGCGAAGGGGCCCCCACAGAGAAAATGACTACATGGAGTATTATGTCAATCACATCGTAAACAGCTCTTGTATTTTGTGATATTATTCAATTGATTATTATCATTATTTCCTGCTGCAGCTCTGCCACTCTGCCTATCACCTTCAAGTGCCTCCTTGAGAACAACCACATCGACAGACGCATCATCCGCTTCGTGCTGCCTGTCGGGGCCACCATCAACATGGACGGCACCGCACTCTACGAGGCCGTGGCTGCCATCTTCATCGCCCAAGTGAATAATTACGAGCTCGACTTTGGACAGATCATCACGATCAGGTAAGGCCGGCTAAATTTAGACCTTCATCCAATATTGGAACTGCTAAATCTTTTTTAACAGCAGTTTATATGATTTAATGCATTTTGTTGGATGACTTACAGTAAAAAAAAAAAATTAAAAAAAAGGGCTTAAAGGGCCACTCCACCTAATCGTAGCCCCAGTTTATGTCTCTCACACATATTCTAGCTGCTGGTAGCATTAGCATTAGCAAGTCTGATAATAACTATTTCAGAACCAGGCAAGCTCTTTTCCCTTTTTATGCTAATCTAACCTTACGAGCTGCTGCCTGTAAATTCATACCAACTCTACAGATATGTGAGTATAGTATCCATCCTCTCAACTAACACTGGGCTAGCTTGTGTCAAACTATTCCTTTAAGATGATAATAACTCTTTGGACAGAGTCTCATCTCCCAAAGTGTGACAATATTTGCAAATTTCATCTGGGTCAAAAGAATGGTAAGGGCATACTTGTGGTGTTTTGAGGGCAACGTGAATTCATCTAACGTCGCATATTTAGTTTAATTCTGAATTAATAAAAAATATTATGGGATTTACTAGATACACATATATGTAAATGTCACACAGATTACGCCTCATATGAGCTTCTTAGTCTGATCTGATTTCTGCTAAATCAGTCTGGAAGCCACGGGGACACAGACAGACAGACAGACAGACAGACAGACAGACAAAAACACCAATGGTCCTCTTCCCACCAATGTCACCACCACATAACATTTGACCACAGGTAAACTAGCCTACTCAGGTCCAGCAAAATGGTCTGCTCCTCCTCTGATTCCATGGCATGTCCTTCTGTAATAACATTAAGCAGACCTCTGCTCATGGCGGCAGTCTGTGCCATTCCCCCATAATCCCTTTGCCGGTAAAACCCATATGACCTGTATTACTCATCTCCCTTGTCACACCAGAATTATAATAATATTTCCCTCTCTCTGCATCCTGTTCCCGTGCCGTTTGGCTGCTGACCATGAAGCTGCTCCATCTGCATGCTAACCTAACCCCCCCCCAGCCCTGCAGAGAGACAGTTTGTCTCAGAGGTCCATGTCTGGAACAAAACATCCGCTCAATCACTCTCACCACGCAATATGCTGGCTTTCTGAGAGCAACAAAACAAACCTTAGGTTTAGGCAACAAAACCATTTAGTAGGTTTTGGAAAACCTTCACTTCACAACAACTCTTTCTGTCACTCGATGTCAAACACGGGTCTCTTGGTTGATAGTCCTGTGTTTGTTTGACCCATCCAACAACCCACCCACCATGTGTGGTCTTTCACGATATTTAATATACGTTACTACCTCTGTGCATTGCGTTGACACGTGAGTGTGTTTAATTTGTGTATCCACCACAAAAAAAAAGGATCCTTGACTTTCCATTCACATTGTTTTCATGCTAGGCGACGCGAAAAAGGAAAATTCATGGACATTCAACGGAAATGTATACGAATCACTAGATTTAAATTTCACGACTATTTCACGAACTGCCTTGAGAATGGATTAGCATTTTAGCAGCATTTTAACGTTGTAGCTGGTTGAGGTAAAACACACTTAACCTACTTTACACGGTGATGGCTCATCTCATCCTGAAGGTTCCCAACCCAAGGATTGTGGACTGGTACCGGCTTCAGAACATTTGCAAGAGGGCCATGAGAAAACCATAGGATTTGACAACAAAAAAAACTCTGATTAATAATCATATAAATGTTTAGGTTATTAAACGTCATTATTGCTCTAATTGTACCTTCACTGTACTCCTGAGCAGTGGTTGTCCAACTATAGCTGAGCAGTTGTAATTAGGCACAATAGGCCTGTCAAGCTTTGTAATCCTCCACATGCTGACACTGGAAATGTGACTGGAGTAAGAGATACTTGGTATCTAAAGAGTTTGGAGGCTAATGACTCTTGCCAAAACCAAAAATATAAGAGTAAAAGTGTAATGAATGGATTTGACTTTGTTTTAACTGCTCTAACATAAGCTACATTATGCTAGCATGCTTGGCTACGGTACTAGATAATTGAGCATTTCTTCTAAAGCCAAGGGACATCATGTTATTAGCTCTCTGCATTATTTTGTGGGGCCGCAGGTTGTTAGAAAACTTCCCCCTTTTCATTTTACAGTGATTCAGCTGGTAACGTTCAAATGTCAGCTGGAGATTCAGTGTAAACTGCAAATATGCCGATCTTGAATGGAATGCTTGACAGGCTGCCTCACCATACTTCTGTTCAGTTTACTCTATTTACCTTCATTTTATTGCTATTCTATTTTGCACTGGTGTCAGTATTACTTCTATTGCACTTGATAACCATTACTCTATTGTTCATATGAGTTTACATTTTTGATTCTATTGTCTTTTGTTATTCTTCTGTTGTAATCTTTGAGCACAAGAATTTCCCTCGGTATTAATCCGGTTCCATCTTATCTTTGTTCCTGTACATTATAATAATGCACCCTGTTCCTCCGTCTGTTATCTCAGCATCACTGCCACTGCAGCCAGCATCGGGGCAGCAGGAATCCCACAGGCTGGACTCGTAACCATGGTGATTGTGCTGACCTCTGTGGGTCTGCCCACCGATGACATCACTCTCATCATCGCTGTGGATTGGGCTTTGTAAGTAAAGGGGTTCATCTTTCCATCGTGAAAGCTTGAACATGCTGTATGCCAACCTCTGGACGTGGTTATAACAGTCAGTAAATTAAATCTGCAGCTTATTAGCTGGAGTTTATATGAACTGTTCCACCAAAATGCGCCACAGTGCACAGGTGCCATACTTGATGTGTTTGGAATATCATAAGCCTCTACATTGCATAAACCTGAATCTCATTGAACCAAATGACCACCCAACTCTTTAAACTTCAAACTTTAGGACTGCAATGAAATATTTTGCTTTAGATCAGGAATAATATCTTGTTTTTCCAGGCTTCATGAACACGGTGGATGACTTTATCATTTTGTTATCTAGGGATCGATTCAGGACCATGGTCAATGTGATGGGCGACGCTCTGGCCACAGGCATCATGGCTCATATCTGCAGAAAAGATTTTGTGAAAGAAGGGGAGCAGGTGAGATCCTGCCAGGCAAATAAACCATCTGTGTCGTCTTCTTGCGACTGCAACAGACGTGAATGTGTATCTCAGTTTGAAAGACATAGAAATGTTGTTCATGGTGTAACATTGTTTATAAAGCAGTCAATTAGGCACAGACTGATTGTGTGTGTTTGTGTGTAGTGCAGCCACTGACTGATTTCAACACTCACAAGGAACTCCAGTTCTTTGCAGTCCTTCCCTTAGTCTCTGTATTTTTTCTGAAGTAAGAATTATCAAGCTCCAGGATGAGCAGAAATTGAGTCTAGTCGTGTCTTTCTTTTGTCTTTGTGTGCATTCGTATCGCTTTAAAAATGTGCATTCTGTCGAAGCCAGCTGTTTTTCCTGCGTCATCATTTTATGTTGAGCTAATCAACGCCTGGCTCCAGCTGAATATTTAACAAATAGTGAGCGGTATCAATCTTCTCATCTCAGGCTGAATATAGAATATTGTCAGGGGAAATTGTAGTAAATTCATGCTGGCAAGTTTATCCAGTTGGAGGTCAAACCCAAATAGATTCTGATAATGGTGAATATGTTCACAAGTGGCAAGAGACTACATTTCATCTTCATAGCCATAAGCTTGGCATCGTGCCATTTAATCTGTCAGTGTGACAGCAGTGTATAATCGCACATGGGAGAAGTTTGTTTTTAGGGCTTTCTGCCAGAACAAACCTACTTGGTGAGGTTTAGGAAAAGGTCGTGGTTTGTGTTGAAATAAACCCTTTCTGGCAGAAAATCCTAAAAACAAACTTCTCCTGTGTGCTGTATAATCCGTGCATTAACGTTTCCATAAAATCAGTGTACGACCTTTTTGTACGAAAGACATATCTGCAAATTTAAAATTCATGTAATTCTGATTCCTCTTCTTCTCCTCCACGATCACTGCGTCCACCAGGTGCCTCTGATCTGTGAAACTAAGCCCATGATAAGCATCCAGCAGATGATGACCTACCAGAATCAGAAGAATGGCTGCTACCAGCCGCCTCCACCAGGCAGCAAGCAGGGCCACCTCTCCCCAGATGTGGCACGCCTGATGAAGCTGGAGGAAGGCGTCCGGCCACTAGAGAAGAAGAAACACGCTCACTCCTCCCACCACAAGAGAGAGCACAGGGATAAGGACCACTGTTCCGTTGATATGAACGGGCTGGAGACTAATGTATAAAAGCAGCTGCCCTGCCAACAGCTACTGACACGTCTACAGCTGCAGGACCGGCAGGAGAGGAAGACATATTAAAGATCGAGGTGATTAAGTTCACATGCATTTCCCCTCCGAGAAGGAGAGCAGCCCAGGGTGGATAAATACAGATAACCCTGGAAGAAAAGAAAAGACGATTTTTGTTTTTCTACATAACATGAATAACAACCCACATTTGTGTATGTTTGTGTGTGTACATATTTATCAGATATGTATTATTTGGTACAAGCAGTGACAGTGCGCTGCTCTAGCTGACAGTCATTTCAAACTGGGAGAACTCATCTTGTTCAACCTTTCACGAAATCTCCCCAGATCTGTGAGTCAGCCCATCTCAGAGGAGCGGAGAACGTAATGGCAAATACCAGATATAATTTAAGGAACCTCTCCATTCTGTGGACAGAAAACATCCACTCATAACTCTGTTTATTAATTCTGATCTGGTTTGGTATGTTTTTAGCAGAATTGGGTTTTTGGAGCATTCTTCCAATAAATTACCGGACTTAATAATGCGCACAACCAAGAGTGGGACAATACAAGATCATTTAGCTTTCACAAGAAACCTTTACTTTAACACACATATGCAACAGTTTGGGTCACATTCAGGAAAAAAAGGATTATTTCCAATTTATCAAATTTTCCCAGCCACATCTTTCCCTACACTTCTCTTCTCTGCCTTGTTGTCCTGAGTCTAAGTGGGTACTCTGCCTCATACCTGCAGTACTGTACGGTCATTGCCAGACAAAAAGACGATGAAGGTCACGATGAAATCGAAGACGAGCGTCTGTCCTTGTGTTGAAGTCATGTTAAGTTGTCTCTGCACCCCATTGTATTTCCTCTTTGCCTTAAACGACCAAGGGAGAAGCATGTGGGACCAGTGCGCTCATGAAGTACCCTGAAAACAACACAAACAACACAAGGCAACAATCACAGGTCATACTCGGAACTCTGTCCATATGTATATGATATATGCTGTACATGTATGTATTTTAAAAGTTCAAAAAAATGTAGATTTTACTAAAATGTCAGTGTGTTTCAAGAGCTGCCATTCTGTATTTGTAAAAAGAAACATTTCACTGTAGTCCGAAATTTATAAAAATGTATCAACTCTGTAAAAAAGAAAACATCAAGAAATGAAAAATACATAAAAATGTACAAATAGTGTACTATTGGAGTTATTTTCAATGGTTTGGGTACATGAGGTTTGAGTTACAAGAACTACGGTTCCAGTATCTGACATTTCAAGGACTAAAAAGTGCAACAGAAATCTGACAAGCCGCATCTTCTCTCTGAAAAAGCATACATACAAGCAACTACTTACTAATAAACCTGAGAAAATGTCATGCTCAAACAAATCCTGATGTAAAATAAAACCAACTGAGCTGTTAAAGGAGTAAAGAGAAGAGATTTAAAAGATTACCAGAGTGCTGGTTCACTCCAAGCCAAGTTTACTTGGGAGCGAGGATGTTTTTTTTTTAATTTGATTCGGCTGATATTTCAATATTGACGTGCACTATCGTACATGGTGCACCCTAAAGGCCCCATGTCAATAAATGACTGAAAGGACTTTAGTGCACCAAATATCTATAACATATATTCCACACACTGCACACATACAAATGGTTTGATCCAAAACAAAAGCTCTGAGCAGAAGCAACAAGCGCTGCCTCGGAGCAAGACTGGGCTATAGATATCAGAGAAAACAAACCTTTACTTCACTTAGAACATTTAGAGCATTTGCTTTAGTTACATAATGAGTTTCTTTTATCAATGTTTCTTCGATGTTTGCAGTTCTTTATAAACGTGACCTTAAATCCATTTAAGCTCCTCTTCACAAAGATAATCAAAATCCTTTGTTTGCATTCAATAACTTTAGTTCCCATGATGTTTAAAACAACAAGGGAGCTCAGGGGTGCTAAAGGAAGCCTGCTTCTTTTATCGGTTCTTCTATAGCAAAAATCCTTGATGGTGTAGATGTTTGATGTTTGATAAGACACCTTTCCTCTTACAGATGAAAATCTGAATTTGTGAGCATTGAAACAAACTCTTGCTCAATGCAATGCACTCGGGGGTTTTGCTACTACAGCCATACTTGGTCTGGTATGACCAGCAGCTTGCATCCCATCAGGTCCAATGATGGTGTTTTTAAAGCAACTGACTCAAGAGAATTTTAGGGACATATATGGGAAATTCACTGTGCCATTATAAACATGACAGCCTCGCTTTAAGATAATGAACATCTTCTGTGCAATGGTCTTATGTTCTGGCGTTTAGAAGCTGCCATCTGCAGTGCATTACAGTCACGTTAATGCACACTTCTACCTGAAATTCAAAAGGCTTGTATTTGTTATCGGTTTCTTTTTTAAAAAGATGTCTCAAAAAGGCTGTCATTGGAATTGGTGCATTGGTGTTACCAGTGCTGGAGAAGATGAAAAGGTTTGGAAAGCCATAACTTTTGGGAGGGGGGGGGGGGGGAAAGTTGCAAAGGCCGTAATGACAACGTAACTCTTAAGTTGGAATTAACTTTTCCTTGGTTGTATATAATCATCTGTGTCCAAAGGTCAGAAGGCAGAGCATGTAATTGTTTGTCTCAATGTATAAATCTAACTATATGTCCCCAATCTGTTCAATGTGCTGTTAGACACAGTCCAGCTCTGTGCACTGACTAGATTTCTGCAAGAAAGACACCAAAGTCCACATCACAGCGTCCGTTATATTTACAGATGCAGGATCGATTTCTTTTCAGACGTAGTTATAGGCAGGTGGTGAACTTGGATGTTGTTTTTGATTTACAACACTGTATACAGAAGTTTAATCAACGAACAAATGTCAAAGACCAGGCCTTTGCAGTATTGATGGGTCTCACTCAAATAAGGTCCAATATATACCTTCACTTATTAGAAAGACTTGGAGCCGAGGTTATATATTCGATCGAGGGTGAGCCGAGGTAAAGTTGACTAAAGGCGAACCAAGCCTGAGAATCCTCAGCTAACACCAGTGCGCTTCACCTCATCCCACCCCATCACACTGTGTTTGTTACAATACATCTCCTAAAGAGCCATTAGCCCACTGCTGATAGTCAGTGAGGCAGGCCAGCCATGTAGCTTGTGCGGCATCTGAACATCACCAGCTGGCCACCTGGCAAAGGGACGGGATGGGGAGTGGGCTAAAGGGAGTTGGCCGGATAGGAGCAATTAGGAACCAGGCTGGATCTGGCAGAGGGTGCCCTTTAGTGGGCAAAGGGGGGAGGCCAAGAGGGATAAATGAATAGAAAAATGGAGGGAAAATGGAGAAAGACTGATACAAAAACAAATGAAATCCCTTTGTTTGAATGCTACCCAGTGGGAATTAGTAGAGAACTGTATGCGCCTGATAGTGCTGATATGGGTAACACAATTCTACTTTTAAACAGAGCTGAAAACAAGTATTTTCTAATTTGGATGCAGGATTTAGACAAACAAAAGCACCGTGGCCGTATTACAAGCTGTGGTTTTGCAAGGGTTGAGTTGCACGGTCCTTTGTTTGACTTAATCGCTGGTGCGGTACTCAGTGGAAAAGTCTAGCGCAGCGAGGGAAGGATCTCTTTTTTGAGAAAACGAAGAGATTCAGACTAGAGTCTGGATTGTAAATGTTTCTATTTGGACTTTCCTCAGTGAAAGAGGAGACATGTACCCTTTAATGAGTGACTCTACAGGTGCGCCTATAGTCATCTCGGGTTTGATTGAATGCACATGAGACCAGCAGGTCAAGTCATTAGAGAGACACCAGAACATAACAAATCCATAACATTGACACATTAGGCTCGTTTGAGACGAGCTGCACCTCGCCTGGAAAGTGGACGACAGCAGGCGGCAGCAGCAGGGGTTGTTGGAAACTTGTGTATATCTGCATTGTATGCTATCCTTTGTTCTTTTATGTCTGCCTGTGAAACACTTTGCTGCTCGTCTTGATATGTGTTGTATAAATAAGCTTTATTATGATCAATTACACAAGATATGTTTTTAGATTAAACCTTCATTTCACAACATGAGACTAATAGCCAACCATCTAGCGTTAAGTATTACAACTACATAAAATGGGATTTTCTACAAAACGTAGTGTTCGTTGTTCAATTCTATCAGCTCTTTGATCTGGCGACAGCCAGGAGTTTCCCATCATGCCCTGAGTCATGCAGTCAGTGGATAGCAACTGAGGCCGCCTCAATCTCGTGAGGTTATCGTCGACTGCACTTGTTCATGACGTCAGAGCGAGTCGGGATCAAGTAGGACACAAATCTAACTAATTGTGCGGCTATCGCCGGTGATCGTTTCTGCGCGGGACTGGCTCATCTCCAACGAGCCTAATGTCATAAACATACAAATGCTCCAGTTTATATGCTGGAAATGTGACGCACTGGCACAGAAGGACAATAAGAGTGTCACATATTTAATTAGGCCACCGAGGTGTAGATTTTTAAGTAAGAAGATATATAAACCTTACTTGAAGGAAAACAAAACTTAAGAGGTTTTTATTGTCAGAAAAAGATTCATTTTATTAGATAATTGCTATCATTTACAGACTTATATTAAATACATATTATCTATCAAAATGGTTGAGACCAAAAATAGCTTCAAACCACAATCTTAATTTCATCGAGAGAAATCAGAGGCACATTAAGTGTTTTGACTAAACATGGAGGAGCATCACATATGTTCAAAATTTGCACTGATGTTGCATATAAGCATATTAGAGACGATGGATGTTTCAGAAATGATATCAGACTTTAGGATGATAGGTTAAGTAGATTAACAACATAACAGGATATTTAAAACTATATATATTCTATGCAGTGAGTGTGCTCTGATTTTAAATTAGCAGCTGGAATTAAAACTTTATCGATCTCTCAAGATCAAACGAAAGTTTTCCTTGACCTCGTTGATTAGCAAAGTGCAATGGGAGGAATCCTTGAAGTGCTGCTCAGAGGACACAACGCCAGCTTAGGGTCTCACAGCTTGGCCTTCCCCGGAGTAACCTGCAGGTTCTGCAGCTTCATAGCGATGCTCATGTTCCCAGTGATCTTCAGCTTCCCTTTGAAGAAGGCCTGCAGACAGGAGTTAAAAGGATCAACATTAGAATGTCTAACTTCATCAGATTGCAATTTTAATAAAAACATTAGGTGAAAAAGAAAACCTGACATTTTTTTGACAAACACAAATCTACTGACATATTGGAAAAGAGGCTTTTAAGTGAGCCACTATGAAAGGGTATTGGCTAGATCAGCATGCATGGCTGTTGGAAATTATTTTATACTCTTTGTCCTAAACAAATTCCCCTTGAGACAATTTAGGTTTCAGTCATCTGCACTACAACCAGGCTACGGCAGCTTGTTCTGCTCGGTAACACTTAACAGAGGGCTGAGACTAATCTTTAAAATACACATCTCAAATTCTGCAGTCTGTCTTCTCAGACAAAAAGGTGGACTGCTGGAGCACACAAGCCTACGAGAGAAGGCCGCTGTGGGCAGAGATGTCGAAACAGGTATTACCACCCACCGGTGCATTCCCATCTATGTTGTTCTATCAAATGCAGCCTTTTCTTTTTAAGATCATGGAACATGACCCAATGAGCGGTGAGCTCAGGTAAATGATTCGTTTTGTCTTGAGGCCTCTGGATGTCCTGCTAAACGGAACACAGCTCGCCTTTTTAAAAAAGAGACGACATTCAGACTCAGAAGCTTGCAGGTCTGAGCCTCTAGATATCACTCGGAAATCTACCACAACTCATTATTTTGAATAAACTCCCCCTCTCTATTCCGTTAACACCGGCTGTGTGGTAAATGTTTGAACTTGTTTATTCGTTCCCTAAAACTATAGAGGCCTCTGGCTTTGGTGCTCTTGGTGCTCAGAGGCTGTAGAGAGTTGCATAACAACCTCTACACCTCAGTCTGTGTGCTTTCTAATTGCCCTCTGGATGCAGCTGCGCTGGCAGGAACGCTTCAGTCAAAACTTGCAATTTGCAAAAATATTCACAACAGTGTTGATCATATTTCCCAGAGCTGACGGGGAGGCCAGCGCAATTAACATCTACACACTGGTAATGACAATTCACAGCTCTGACTTTTGTTGCTTTAAGAAGTGCGCTGACTGACTAAATGGAAATGTGTCCATACAGAAACCATTCAAATGGATTAAGTTGGTTAACGGGCGGCAGACCGGGATGTATTTAGCGCATGACACGCAACAGACAGCTCTTAGTGAAAAGAAATATACGTCAATGGGAAGAGACATCAGATGGGTTTGGCTGCTCAAAAAACCTGCACCAGAACCGAGAGCATTGTAGGACTTGTCTTATGGATTTAATATAGTAGTGTGTTAAAACACAAATCAGAGGCATTCAGGGTGCTTTCACACATAACCTGTTTGGGTTGGTGAAAACAAACTCTGGTGCTTTTTTTTGTTTAGTTTTATGGTGTTTAGTTCCATCACTTTGTTTGGTGTGAAAGCAGTCAATGAAACTGAACAACTGGACTGAACATCTGGACCAAGGTCCCCTTCCCAACTGGACTGTGAAAGCAAACTAACCAAGCACAGAAGTGGAGGATAGCCGGTGGGCGATTTCAGCATTACTTGAAAAAACTACTATTAAATTTGATGGATATTGTCAATTGTTCGTAAATCGATCCTGTATATTTACATTATTGTATTATTCATATTTATGAATTGATTTTGTGAACCTTATAAGCGTCACCATGCGAGTACAGATAGATGCGGTTAATGTAGCACTACACACCGTTTGTGGATTCAACCTTCCTGTCATCAGTTCCATCAGATCCTCGTCACTCATGGATAAGGTGCAGTCCGCCTTTTTACCTAAAAGAAAGATAATTAAGAGGCTTTTTCACTGTGGCTCACTACCAACATTTATCAAATGCATTATAATATAAAAATTCCCACCCACAGAAACAAATGCATATTTACTGTTCCTTACACACACACACACACACACACACACACACACACACACACACACACA